TGGTCAATATCAAATATATATTTAAGACTCGTTGGAGTAAATATTATTTACATATTTCCTTAATATATTTAGTTATAAGTTAAAACCTTTTACGATGCAAAATATAAAAGGTTAAAAAATTATTTATGCACCTATATTTAATGAGGGATATATGACCTAGGATAGTTTATATAAAATTTCACATTTCTTAAATTATTATTTTGTGCCTAAAAATAAGTATAAGAACTTCTGAATACATCAGAACAGAACTTGTCTTTCTTGCATTCTCGATGATTTTTTTCCCCCTTCTTTTCCTCAAACGATGTTGGGCCACCCTATTATTAAAATAAAATAATTTTTTTATAAAAATTATTAATTATTTTTATATATTTTTTATAAACTCTTCTAAAAACACGTGAATGTACGATCATAATTCGGCTCAAACTATATCTAATTTAAATTTATTTTCGAATAAACTATAAAAATATTAAAATCTCAAGAAAATGTTAAAGACAATTTTCCACTTCAGTATTTATCATCTCATACTTATTTTTCTTAACTAGGACATTTAATAAGAAGAAATTTTTAGGTTTTTTTAATTTTTTCAATTAATAGTTAAATTTCTTCCATCAATATAAGCATTGTAAATATATGTAAATCATTACCAAAAAATAAATTTTTAATTAGACTAATATTTGAGCATTTTAAAATTTAAACTTTAAAAACTCGCATTTTAATATTTTTCATGTATTCTTCTTATTATTAAAATAATTATTTTCAGTTAAATATTTTTAAAATATTTAAAATTCATTCTTTTTATATTTGTATGAGAATATCCGTGAAATGCATGGCATACTTGCAATGTTATTTATGCTCTACGTTTTAAAAAGGTGTTTGTTCTATTTCATTTAATATTTTTTATTCTTTTATAAAAAATAAAAAATAATATTTTTTGTCCCAATTATAAAAAAATTATTTTGATACATTAATTTTTAAAAAAATTATACTTATATTTATAATTAAAATTTTATAAATAAATTATTTATCTATTATTCATATAAGTGAATATATTCATTTATTTAATATATAAGTATTAATTTAATTATTTAATACTATAGATATTTTTAAAATATAATATAATTTTATGATATATAAAATTATATATTATTAATTTTAATGAATTAATTATTTTTATAAATGAATAAGAGGGTGTAAAAACCATAAGTGAAATTAGTTTGGCAGATAACTTTTGGGTTAAGAAGCATCTTGGAACCAGGTGCTGACAGTCAACAGTTTACACGGTTTAGACCAAATAATATTGTTGACCCAAAAGAACACAAAATAATTGCGTTTCAGTAAAATCCTGTGGGCTGGGCAAAGCAAGAAGGAAAACAGTGTTGTGGGCTTTACTGTAGTGTAGAAGCCTTCTCAGCAAAACCACATTATCTAATGCATCCAAGAAATTGCTTTGTGCTGTGGGTAAGCGAGGCATGTGCAAGCTAAGGAATTTGATAAAGACAAAAAAACCACTGTGTAATCTTGTAAGTATATGATATATATGTTTCCTTGATTGAAATCTACTCCTATTATTGCTTAATAACAACTTCACTAAATCATGCCTTAATAAGGCCAAGCCTCGATCATTAAACCCATGCTCAGTGTTGGATCTTACCTCCCTACCACATTCCCTTTCTTCTTCTTGGGGTATTATTCTTTGCCACAATCATTATTATGTGAAAATTGAGGGAACCCACATGAGAAACCATAAATAATTGTTTCTACTTTTTTGTATGGCTTGTGTATATATGTGTTGTTACATAATCATATCCCAAATGTCTTCTTGTGGAAGTGTGAACATGTAGTTAATAGGAATACTGCTAAATTTGAAATGACAAATACTGATAGTGGGTGCTTTTTAAATTCCATATACTAATAAAAGCATCTAATTTGTTCCTTGCGTTAGCATAAATTGGTATGCTCACCAAATAAACTATTGACATACTTCCAAAGGGGAACTAATCTGCAGACAATACCACACTATGCTGGATATGAGTGCAAATGAAACGTTGTATCTTATGATTATTTTAGTTTATAAATGTTCTTATTCGCATAAAAGTGATATATGTTTTTTAAAGAGAGAAAAAAAATTAAAGATAAAAATTAATTAATATTTTTAGAAGTAATTCTTGTAGACTAAAATAGTAGAAAATTGTTGAATTTTTTAATTACAATAAGCAAGATAATCCCTTTGTTAGTATCAAACGAAAGCACCCTTTATTTATTAGATAAATTACAAATCTTGGATTTGATTGACGGTTTAAGGTCACATGTAGTGTCTCAACATGCAGCGTTTAAATTGTCATTTAGTTATATCATTTTCATGTGCTTAAAATTGAAAGGATGTTTAATTAAATTTTTGTAATAGGGGCATAATTCTAAGTAGGCCCAAAAGTGTACATGCACAGAAGCCCCTGAATGTACAGTGTAGTCAAAGGAATGGGTTGGTTGATCCTCTGCCCCTTCTTTTCTGCATATCAATGAACATGTAATACCAAAAGCAAAAGCTTTTTGCTGTACATTTCTATTGGGAGAAAGCAACCATGGAAGGCACCTTGTTGAGACCAGATACAATGTAAATGGAACCATTCAGAATGGGACCCCATCCTCTCGCCCATTTCATGAGAAGACATATCATGTGTGCTAATTGCTAAAGAGTAATATTACAAATTTGAGTTTTGTTAGCATCAATTCCGAAAGTTTAAGAAATTAAAATTAGTATTTTTGTATCAAAAAATAACATATTTATTATATTAAAGTTGTTAAAGTGTGATGATTATTTTTTTAATAATCTTATTTTTTAATATTTAAACTCAATTATAAGATCTGAAGTTAACAAATTTTCAACTTAAATTTTACATCACATTTTACCATTGATTTTTTTTTTATCTCTTCGTGTCTCTGTAACATCATTTATTCTGTCCTTTCATGTAAGATATGTTGTAAAATTTTCTTGCATGAATAGTATTATCCAATGCTAAATTGACTCAACCCACAACATGATCAGGTTTATGCCTCAACAATAAACATCACCGTTTGTCTTTCCTTTTAGTTATGTAAATAATACGATGTCAACACCAAAGAAAGGGTCATATTGCTTGCGTCAAAAGTCATAAATTAATCAATAATATTTTGTTTTGTTTTGTTTTTTAAAATTATATAATACTCTGTAAAATAAGAAAGTATTATATACTTTCTTGCACATAAAACAATTATGACCATTAAATTTATATTAATAGATAATAAAATTAGATTTTAAAATATATAAATATATTTTAGTTTCTAAGATATTAAATAAATCATAACTCTTATTTTAGAGAGATGTCTCTTTAAATTTAAAAGTATTGTACCAAACAATTTTTTTTACTTGATATATATCCTACTCTAAACACAAACAACGTTGGCCAAACCGAAGAAGAATAAACTCTGAAATCGTCAAACAGTCAAGTTATCTTAGATATTATTATCTTGGGTTTAGTTAAAACCATTTTTTAAGGGCTAAATTTAAATATTTAAAATAATAAATTTTTATAAAAAATATTTATTATATTAAAAAATAATAAATATTTTAAATGAATTTATTATCATTAATTACTTAAAAATAAATGTTATTAATAATTACTTAAAATTAGGACTGTAATTAAAAGCATTCCACAGCCAAACCCAGAAGTTATGGAAGAGGGGAAAACAACTCATTTGAAACAGTATTGGTCAACGGACAATTAAATCCATATTTACACCAAACGGAAAGGAACCGTGATTTATTCCTATCTCCCTCCCATTTTATATATAATATGATTTTTTTAATGTATAGCTAAAAACATATATTAAAAAATTAAAAATAATAAATTATTAAATTAAATACATTTATTATTTTAAAATCTTGAAAACATTTAATTTATATTTCTATAGTAAATTATAGTATTTAATATGATATTTTAAATATATATCTTTAACCATATGTTGAAAGCTTTTATTTATTATTCATACAAGTGAATATATTTCTTTATTTTATGTAATAAATTATTAATACTAAAAATTAATGATATATAGTTATTTACTACTGATTATGATAAGTTAATTATTTAAATTTTATAAAAATGAGTAATACCAAACTTTAAAATATCCAGACAAAGCAAAACACCCTTTGTTCTTTAGGCAGGCAAAAGGGCAGATGGTCTAACCGTCCAACAAAGACACACTTTTCTATGGTTCAATTTTCCACATTCTGTACAAACAATAAATGGCACCCCCAGATAATCCTAGTAGCCATAGATCTCTTCCGTAGTACTAATATTTTATTTTATTTTTATCAAATATAAGATTGTTTTAATTATTTTAAAGAATTAAAAAATATAGTTAATCTTATTAATGACATTTTATCTAATTAATTATTATCTACAAAGGATATTTCTTTAAAAGAATAATTTAATGTAAAATATAATTTACAATGAGTCTTATAATCATGATAAACTCCTTAAAAGGGTGAAATCAAAGAAAGGAATTGATTATAACCAAGACATTGAAAGCAATAATCGATTCTACGCAAATCAAAATGCTACCGTAGAGTTTTTACGCAAATCAGAATATATAATTAGATGAAACTGATAAATTTTTACTTCCACATAATTCGATTTTGATCGCTGTACAAACAGGCTATGAAAACCATTTCCCCCCCTCCGTTCAGGAACGGCAAAATAACACATTAAAAACTATTTATAAAATTGATATAGCAAGCATTACATCAATAATAATACATAAATAATTTCAAATATCTAGAAATCCACAACAGAGAGACCAAAAATTATCTTATCTCTTCATGAATTTCTTTTCTATAGTATATAGTTTTAATTTGGTCACAGTCAGTGATATCTTCAATTAATAACACTGAAGACAAACAAATATGAATTTGTGAGCCAACAAAAAAGAGAAAAAAAAAAAAATGGGGTTGGCTTGAATATCTCTTAGCAGAAACTCCACAAACGAATGTCACCACTTTCTTCATACAGATCATCAAGCAGCTGTGTTGAATCAATATCAAAAAATGCCCCACTTAGCATTTGATCGACATATTTTGGTGATTGTAAGCCATCAAGGCCATACCAAGATTCCATCATAGCCATTGATGCATGTGGTTGTTCACAGCTAGTAGTAGTGTAGGCCTCAAAAGGTGAAAGCAGTGAAACATCATCTTCTATATGATCTGAAGGAGAAGAAGACAATGAAGGGGATGAGACCAATGAAGAAGATGAGGTTGAAGCAAGAGGTGGAGAAGGTGGGGTGCTAGCAATAGCATTATTGTTGTTGTCCACAAAACTATTAGCAGCAGCTGCAGCCACTCTTTGGATGGATTTGGGGGACATAACAGTTTCCTGAGGAATGTAATGAGAAGAACTTGAAGGGAAGTTCAGGTTTGCTGAGGAACCTTTAAGGCATAGAAGTGCAGCATCATAGGCTCTTGCTGCTGCTTCAGCAGTTGAATAAGATCCCAACCATATTCTTGTTTTTTGGTTTGGTGCTCTAATTTCTGATACCCAGGAACCCCAACTCCTCATTCTCACCCCTTTGTATTTCTTCTTCTTATTCTCATTTGATGCCGGTGATGAAGGTAAAGGTCTCAACGTTGGCTTTGATGGCTCTGGCTGGACTTTGTTTTCTGTCTTGACCATTATGTAGAGATGCAAAGATGGTGGTTTTTGAGTGAAGTAGAAGCTTTTGAAGGTGAGAGTTAATGGACTTTGAGAGGTCTCTCTCTCTCTTGCTCTCTTTTTGATGTGTAACTTTTTTGTTTTCCTTTGTTGTTGTACCGAAAATGGGGAATGAAGCACATAAAGGTGAATGAGAGGTAGTAAGGATGCTCTATTTATAGACAGAGACTTTAGTTTAATGGTAGCAAAATTCTCCTAAGTCAAAGATTGGTGATTGATGCCAGATAGGTTTTAGTTAATGTGAATTTAATATAGACGACCTAGTTCTTAATGACACTTCTTTGTCCTTTATTAGTGAAGCTTCCTTCGTATTATATGATGAAAAAAATAGTCCAATAACGAGCAAATGAAACATTACAGTAAACCACTATTAAAGCTCAAAATAATAATAATAATAATAATAAATTATTATTATTATTATTATTGTTATTATTATTATTATTATTATATTTAAGTTCGTTGAATTTTTTAATTTTTAATAAAAATTTATTATATACAACTTTTTATCATGATTAATGTTGCATAAATTTAAAAAATTGTAATAAAAAAAATTCTAGTAAACTAAGTTGCTTATTAAGAGCATAATATTATGTGGGTGTTATTTTTGGCATCATATTGATTTTGTGCTAAAATGGGTCGCTTCTTTCATTTTATTTAACTGAGGCAAATTATGTTGCACTAAATATATATCTTCCCAACTTGTTATTTAGCACAGATATTAGACTGCATATTATATTTATGGTCTTATGAAGTTATTAACTAGAGCATTAAAATTGTATCCATTTTTTCTCTTTCGTAGAGCGATTTAGTCAAATCCAAAATGCTATTTTAAAAACATGTCAACTTGTATATTTGAGTTTGACAGTGTAAAATGCCCAAGCATTGAATATTTTATGGTAGTAACCATAATGATGTGATACGTTTTTTTGGTAGGGTAAAACTACAGAGCAGTTACTCATACGACCAAGACTTTGAACACTTACGAGTGAACAAATTTTCAAACTAAAGCCCAGGAAGTTCAAGGTGGAATCCATTAATGCTTTAGACTTCAATCCTATGGACCAATGAGAGACCGGACAGTAAATTAAAGAACCTTTAATTTCATTTTCCGTTTTAAGTCTGACTTGTGCATGCAAGTCATCATCTTTTCCAAATGGGTTATTTCCAACTTATTTTATGAGATAAATAATCTTTATACATAGATTCATGAAATTAAAAGATTATATTATATACAAAATCTAATTAACTCACTTGAAATAAAGTCATTTACCCTAGATAACTGAAAAATTCTTTTAAATAACATTTAACTCAACAAGATTCAATTGAACTGATAAAAGCAAAGATATAATAAGTTTTATTAATTTTTACAATAATATAAAGAAGTATTCTTTGATATTTTAATATTGACTCATTAAAATAAGAATAGTAATTCCATCATTACATAAATTTTATTTAATAATAAAAACAATAATAAATGTGGTACAATTTCTTATATAAATTAATATATTTGAAGAGAGAAACAAGAATCTCTCTGGGTTAAGAAGCAGCTTCGAGGATCTTGCAGGTGGTGATGGTAAACAGGGATGAAAGATGAGGAGTAACAAGGCGTTATGCACAGAAGAATAAGTGAAACCATTTGCGTATGCAATCACACAGCTGTGGCTTCTCTGTACTCAGCTTCAAAAGCGCGTTAAGGGCCCTCATTTCTTTATTTAATTAACTATGCCTTATGTAATGTCTCTCTTAGAATATTTAATATATAATATAATATTTAATACGCATAGGAAATAAGCAACGCATTTCAATGCTTTGTTTGCTAACGCCTGCGTAACTTGACTTTTGCACTTTTTATTTGTCCCTCTTACTTTAATTGTTTTTCTTTCGTTTTAATTTTAAGGTTTTCAATTGATTCTCTGTGGTACGGCGCAGGGCCGAGTCGTTTTGCCTTTTGCTTTGGGAAGAATGCTAGCCCACATGCATGTTTACATACTATCTTTATACGTGGATCACTTTTCTCTTTAGAAAATACTATCTTCAAAATATTTATGAAATTCAAAATTAAATATTATTTATATACTTTTATCATGTATGTTTTTTAATCGAATTTATTAATTATTTAACTTTTTATGTCGGTTAGCAAGACCTTTTTGCTTTAATCAATGGGACACAGGAGCCTTTTCTAAGTTTGATTGTGGTCAAATTCACACGTTCAAGAACACCTGTAAATCTCAAGCATGAAAAGGATGATGATAGCACAGACAATTAGTCCACATTCTAGCTACCAACACACCAAATCAACAACTGAATCATGATGAAGAAAACCAAACAATTCCAATTGGTTTAGCACTGGGTAATAGAAAGACAAAAAAGGCTGTGACCTAGTTATTTGTGTTATTTTGAGGGTGATTAATTAGTTATGATCAAATTCCTAATTTAGATTTTGTAAGTTTAAATTTTCATTCATTTTTTAAAAAAAGTTAATATAATATTTTCATTTAAATTAGTCATTTAAATTAACTTTTTAATGTTAATATTTTTTTTACTTTATTTTATCTCCTAACTTTTTTTTCTTCAAATAATAGCATGTCTTGGACTAAAATTTCTTCTTCATTTGCATTTCACATCGTTTAGAACTCCAAAACCACCACAAAATAATTTATGTTATCTATTGTAGCTAAGAGAAATACTAGCAAAATATTATTAAAAATTATAAAAAAAAAACTGAGTTTCACTTTTCTCACTTCTAATTTAATATTTTTCTTTCATATTCTTGTATTTTTTAATGTTTGATAAATTTTAGCTTATAATTAATTATTGTCATTAATAAATGTATTTATGAAACTAGTCAAGAATTTTTTTAATAAAAATAAAATATTTATACGATTAAACTATAAAAAAATATGTATATTATAAATACTTGATAAAGTATATTAAATGCTTCTTAAGTAAAGGATAATGGTTTGGATTATGTGTTTGAGTAAAAGAGCTAGTATTATCAGAGTAAATGTTTTAGTCAAATAAAACTGTTTCTTACGTTAAAAGTTTTTCTAATTAATGTTTTTAAGATACTTTCAACCATTTTGTTTACTTACAAAATGAGTAATAAAAAGTAAGATATTAATGAGTTAAGCCAAAATTCAAGTTTAATTTATTTATTCAAATGAGTTAAATTTAAAACATTTAAAATATATAAAGTTTAAATTTTACTTGTTTAGTTTATTTATAATTTGATTAATTTTTATTTTTATAATATATTCTTGAAGTATTTTAAAGAATAACCGTTTAGTATTTAATATATTCTAGAATGATATTTTAAAGATAAACTCATAATTTATAAATTACATCTCTTATTTTATATGGAATTAACCTTTTCAACACATGAGTTTGACTTGATTATATGATCAAATCTAAAGTTAAACTTGAATTATTTGTTTATAAAAATAAATAAACATAATTAAATATTTAATTAATTAATTTAAAATTATTTATGAATAATTCAATTTATTTATACTATTAAAAGTTTGGTTTGTAATGAGGTCTATTTTTAGATAAGTTTTTATAAGAGAAAAAATCAATATAAAAAATGAAAAAAATTCTCTCAAAAATTATAGACACTTTAAGATTATCTATCTTTTAGAAAAATTCTTATTTAAATTTTCTAAAATTTAAAAAATAAGTTGTTTCTAATTTAAAAAATTTATTTATTATATAATTATTTTCTTCTATAACCACTTCACTAAAAATTTATTTAAACTGACTACTTGAGTATATAATTGATTCTATTCATTTACAGTCTTTATTACTCAATTTATAGTATTGGAAAAATTCTTTAATTTTAAAACTAGTACACTATTTTCCTTTGATTTATTTTTTAAGGAGAAAGTATCAAAATGAAGTCCAAAAATAATAATGTAACAATACATAGTAGTTCTTTTACACACACTATAATAATAATAATAATAATATAAAAATTCAAAATCGTCTTTTCGATCTATTGTATACACTAAGCGCATAAATTAATGAATAAAAGATATAAAGGGTCCAATATAATAAAATAAAATTTATAACCGATGTAAAGGTTTTTTTTTAACTGATCGGGTTGATACATATATTAGAAAACTCGTAATAAAATAACATTTATTTTAATAATTTTTCAACCTGTTTTTTGTGCACATAATAAAAATCTACATAAAGAATATTTTGATTAATTTATTATTCAATGTATTTCAGAATATATTTTTAATATGTCGCAGAAAGGTTATTTTAAAAGTTGAATAACAAATCGGAGCAGGTTGTAGTCTCCGATAATAAGGCATGTGTGAAGGGTATCCTGTCGTCAAATCCGTACGATCCCTCCTCCCCCTTAAGCCCTTGTGACACATTATTTTGCGGGAACACACAGAATATACATCAAATTACAAGTAATGTCTCAAAGAAAACATGGTCATTTTTTAAGTTGATGAACTAGAAAAATAAATTGACGTACATGTGATCCTTAATTTGCTGGTAGCTGAGGGTACGGTCTTTGACGTGCCATGGCCTCTATTTTATTGATTCTCACATGTTCTTGCCACACTCCTTTCCTTTATCATAATTCTCAAAGGAAGCAAAGTCCATGTTTGATGGAAGTTATAAGGAAACTTCATTAATTTGCAAATTGCTGAATTTGCTGCATGCACCTTCTGGATTTTTCTTTACTTTCTTTGCTTTACCTACCATGCATGTGAAGTCGTCACCATCATCATGGTGAAAAATCTTAGGCTAATGCTGTGTTCAATTTTGAATGGAAAACAAGAAAGGTAATTTTTTTAAAACAACTCCTATATTCAATGTTCTATACATGGTTAAACATGTTATTTATTAAAAAAAAAAAAAGAGAAAGATATTGAAAGTAGACAGCTAAAGCCAAAAAATACATAAGCTGTGTTCTCATTGACAATATTTTGACCTTGTTGTACAGATTAGAAAAAAATTGGTCGGCGAGGAATTGTCCTTTTTTCTTTTTAACATGGAGGAATTGTTCCATTTTTTGGTGGTAGCTCAAACAGTAACCCTCCCTTTGTTTTACTGGAAAGAACATAGGGAAAAAGAAAGATAAAATTTAAAACTTGAATAAAAAAATATAATTTTAAACTTTTATATCTAGATTTTCTCTTTATTTTTATTCAACTAAAAAAATATCAATTTTTAATGAAAAATTAATAAATTAAAGGAATTATCTTGTATATTTTCAAAATAGTAAAAACTTAAATACACATTTTTAAGGATTACAAATTAAGTAAATATGACTTAAATTTCAGTCTGCTAATTTAGCCTACCCTTTTTCTAATAGTTGGTTTATTAAGGCAAAAATTAAGTACATGGGCAACCTCATTAACTAATAGCTGAAATTAACTTTGATGGCTCTGCTATCTTATACTATATTTGATTATTTTCATCAAAAGTTCCTAATGATTCTTTTCATCTCACTATGTAAAGTCTAAAATGGGTCAATTTCTTCCCGGCCGGCAAAAGGGAGTGCTTCCCCTGATTCCTTGTGTTTCAAAATCTATCATAGGGCAAAAAGCAACAATACAAAAAGACAATAAATAGTTCATTTCCTATCACACCTAAAGCTTCAATTGACGCATATACCAAACAAAAGATTGATGTTGCTGAAATCAAACCTAAACTTTATATATTGTATGCACTACCCAAAATAAATAAATAAAATTATATATAATAATTTTTATCAAAAATTAAAATATTTAATACTATTAATACATTAAATTAATATATTTTTATAACATTCATCGTTACATAAATTTTAAAAAAGAAAGTTGATATAGAAAAAGGTTTAGACATCACGTTGCCGAACTCCTTGACTACAAATGTAAATGCATGGTAGTGGCGTTTTGATAAAGTTTGATTATGCTATGAACCCTCTCTTTCCTAACTGGCCCGTACCGACTATGAGACCTTCCGTACTCAAAGAGCATAGAAAACGACAACCAAAATAAATTGTAGGGACAATTGCATTGGATAGCAGAAATAGCTAATAGCACACGACACAAGCTTGGAAGTGACCTCACCGAAGAGCCATGCATGCATTTGGGAGTTGAGAGTCAATTGAAAAGTGTCCAGTGTCATCCCATTCTTAGAATAAACAAATAAAATGGTGTGACAAGTGAAAAATTCTTGAAGATTGAGATGGGGCATGGTGATGAGGAATGGGCGAAAGTACATCCAAGGATTTAATATTCACAAGGTTGTTAAGGTAAGGGGTATGAAGAGGCAATATCCATGTGGGGGGTGATGAGATATTCTTAGACTTATAGGAATCAAATCTCAAATTCCTATTTTTCTACAGAGAAAGGATATATAGAGAAACTTCCAAGAAAAAAATGTAGTACTAATGGGTATTGTCAAATCAACAACCATATCCATAGTGATGGCCAATGTTTGATAGCTGTTTTAATTTATATAGCATGCAATAATATAATTATAATATGGGACCAACGTCACCAACTTCTTTGAGTATTGATCCACTAGCTCTAGTAAGTGACCTTCGTAAGCTACTTCGTTACTATTGTTGATGTTTCCTTTTTTATTTTCATATGACATCATCCATTTTTCTTGCTATCTCTCTAGTAAATGTTAGAAATCATTCTAATGTTCTATTAACAACTTAGGACATTTTTTGATTCGCGCGCGTTTAAATAAATATAGATGTACTTTAATTTTAATTTTTTAACGTATTTTTAAAGTGTAGTTAACTTTTTTACCGTTAAGATCAATTGATATTTCTTGTAATATACCAGAGAAAACAATGAGTGAGGAGTTTTTTTTCATTCTTTTTCCTGTTTGTTTTGGCGTTGTATAGATGCTAATTCTTACCAGAAAAATCACGAAATGGAATTATTGACTGCAGTACTCTGTATTCGTCTGTTTGGAAGAACTTGTAAAAAAAAAGTATAGCATGCATTCAAATTATGTAAAACGTGAACATCTCAGACTCATATATATGCAGGTTATGGTCTATTACTTCATCATTTGACTATTTCCTTGTGAACTATTGTTTCTATCTATGCTTGCGTTAAGTCCCATTTGAATTCTAATTTTAGCATAGAACAGAGGAAAATGTTTAGTGTAAACTAAAAGTGAACATATTTAGATTATTTTATTTTATTTTATGTATTTAAAGTGTATTTTTGGGATACATGTTTAAAAAAAATAATATTTTTTAATAAGTCAAGTAACGAAATTAAAAGAAGAATAAATTGGATGTGACAGATGATAAAAAGAAGGGAGGGAGGGATTCAAGAATACAAAGTACTCCTCCCAGTCCCACACACAAGAATAGACTAACAGTTACCTGAATATATAATTTGTTTATTGTTTAAAGAATATTATTTCATATTAATCCAATGCAAATCAATATCAAGGAAAGCTATTCTTAAATAACATAAGATTGATATTGTAGTTCGTAAAAAGATCGAAATGGATCTTGAAGTTCTTGAAAAATCTGTACTATCATTTTAGTTTTTAAATTAACTAACTTCAGTTTACATGAACAAAAATAAACAGTTTCACATTAAGTGTCACATTGAATATGTGTGACATGATATTCATACTCATTTTCACATTACATACAAATGAGTCTTTTATATTCATATATTTTAGATTGAAGCATCTTCCTCTTAGTCCCTCATCAGTGTAAACCGTACTTTATTCTTTTCAACTACTCAAAATCCATTGCAAATCCTACTTCACATTGAAGAACCATTTCCTCGATGACTTCCAACTTATTTGGCAAGCTCTTAGAGCTTTTCACAACATTGGTAATTATGTGACGAAGGAAGTAACTACAGGATTTTACTTTTTGCTTAATATCTTTTGTAAGAATCAACATGAGAAAGTGACCATTGGGTTTTTCAAGGAAAAACAAACATAAATTTAAGCATATGTGAAAATATAAATGATTTTTTTTAAAGGAATCTACCTTTTATATATTAAATTTGGATCATCATTATTAAACAAAATGAATTTTAAAGTTATCTTAAACCAAAATATTTTTTTAGATAAATTAAATTTCAATATTATTATAATCGTAATTTTAATTTAACTTTAAATATAATTTTTTCTTTATTTTTTTCATAATTTTTAAATTCTCATCTCTTTAATTTAATATTTTTGTAGTACAGATATTTTTATTTAATCTAATATATAGCTATGATTAATTATAAACATATTCAATCTTTTAAATTAATAAATTGTTTTAAATTTAAAAATAACTATACATTATATCATAATTTTTTTTTTAAAATAATCTTAATTTAATAATATGCGTAAAATAAGTTGCTGATTAATTTGTCAACAGACATTTAATAAACATTGTTGATGTCATGTTCGATCACAAAAGGAAAAACAACAGTTGTCGTTTGATAAAGCAGAACAAAGAGATAACATTAACTAGCGTGAAGGGTTTGATGATACTAATTTGCCTTATTTGATAATAGAGAATGAAGTAAATATGTACATTTTTAAATTACTTAAGATAAAAAAATGATAATTTGTGCTTGTTGACGTCACATACATTTTAATTAGGAGATACAAAGAAAATAAGAGAAAATTATAAAAAGAAAACATTATCTAACTAAAATTATAAAAAGGGATGCCACATTTTTCTGACAATAGTGAATTTCATATCACATTTGTTTTAATATTAACTGGACACATTAAAATTAATTTGTCTAGCCAATTAAACTTTTAAGTACCTTTATAACAATTTCAATATTTAGCAATAAACGTATAATAACTGACTTCTAACTTTCTTTTTCTCAGTGAATCACATTGACAAAATTGTTAAATGATATCACTTGTATGTTAAACAACTTCATCAGTGTACATTCAAAATTAAAACACGAATTTTTTTTTGTAAGCAAAAATATGCAACTTATGATGAATTAGAATAAATATTTGCTGTTAAACTTTTGGGGATTGTTAATTTATTTTTTGCTATTTGCTGCACCTTTTTTACTGTGACTTCCAGGATTTAATTTCTAAAAGTGTGTTTAATATCTTCCGAAAACTAATTTTCAAAAAATATGAACTCACTGCTATAAGTACCAGTGTTATCGCTTCTAAAGATTCTACAAAGTATCCAAGGTTGGCACATGATGGTAAATGGATGATTTACCATCACACGAGGACCAAATAAACTTCATAGTTACCCCAGTAAAAAAGAAAAACAAAACCTTAATGGTTATTACAATTACAATAATAAGTATCTAAAACATCCCCACCATCAGCGAATTAAAGCAACACCGGATTGTTTTTCTTATGATATCAGGTATCAACTTTGCTATATATGGTTTCACGTCACTTATTTTTTAAGGTGGCATCCAATCGCTCAGATTTGTTGCTAAGGGTAAAATCAGACCCATGGACAATTTATTTCGTATTGAGATAAGAAACTCATGCCCTTCTTAATCAACAGGGGGCATTTAATAAGAAGCTTCTGTAAATGTACTCAAGGAACTTATCAGAGACTCGTATACCTTTATTCCATTCATGTACACAGTATCCTGTAAGTGCTGCAAGTAAAGGTCAAGGATGTTACTGTTAGAAAAATATACTTGAGTAACAGTTCATGTGGAGTAAAATTAGAGTTACACGATAACAAAGAATTGAAAGAATTATTTAACCTCGTTGTGGTCATGAAGCAAGATGGGCGTATTTTTCATTGGAGAAAAACCGAGTACAGGAATTCCCTTCTGTCTGAGATATCTGGCATCAGTTGTGGATGCCAGAATTTCAGGCCTTGAAAGTTTTTCTCCAGCTGATTCAACAGCCTGCTTGAAAACTAACCACCATGGATTGGAATCATTAGTTGCAGTCACTAATGGGCGCCCCGTGCAGTCTCTAATGGGTCCTTTCTCAATAAGCTGTCATATTTGATTGCCCAAAGACAACACAATAGAATTGAAGTCAAGAAATCAATGGCAAAGACAAGGGTTTTATAAAGAAGCTACAACTTCATTAACTGTCTTGGATTCTTAAGTTATACACATTTTGAAAATAAATCAAATACAAAGAAGAAAGATGCTTAACCCTGTTAGGCTGTGTTTGATGCACCCATAATATAAAAACTGATAGTATAAAGGACCATAAGACCTAATCAAGTATAAAAGAGCTTTATTATGCTCTTAATGCTATCAAGTATTAGTACTATTGTATAAGTAAAAAGACTGTTAGAATATATATTTTCCATGGAAAAGATACCCTTTACAAAAGGGCTTTTTCTTTTTTATTCTACGCCAAAATTTTCAGTTCATGTAAGAAAGTCAATAGCCTTCATTCAAAAATGCAAACCAACTAAAATAATTGATCTCAAATTTTATATCAAATGCTTTTTATGATTATCAGTTCTAATGATAGATATAGAAAACACAACTTTGAAAACACAGCGAGCACTGTCTCAGTTTGCAATGAAAAGGCTATATATTGTCCACAACCATAGTCGTCCTCTTGAACCATAGCATATCTTCTATTACACCACAGCAATCCCCATTCCATGCTCTTCTGCCCATGAATGGCTGCAACAGGTGTTTTCTTTCACTAGAAACTTCTGAGGGTTTCCACCATATTCAAACATTAAGCTCAGTGATATAGGGGAAGTGTTAGTCGATGATGGGTGGATGACAGACCCTTGTGAACATCAAGAGGGTAGCATGGTTGAAAAAGTAGTAAGTGGTGGTTGCAAACTTGTAGTACCATAAACCTTAGTGTCACCGGCAGTGCTTGGAAAAGCAATAGTTGGGGTGCTCAAAAAAGATAAAAAAAAAAAAACCAAGCCAAACTGCAAACCGAACTAGAACCAAACCACAAATAACTGAACTTATTGTAAGACATGCTGAGCCGAATTGCTTCTTTAAATTTGGTTCTATAACCTGAAGGTGCAGTGAAATCCTTCATGAAATGGTGAACTCTCAACTCAAACGTATCACAACTTCTTTGACTTTTCTCCACTTCTCACCCAATCTCAGCATTTATAAGAATCCTAATCTGATATAATCTAATCCTTCTTAGAAGTTAGAACCCTACTTCCCAAATCAAACACTAATGTCTCCCATAAAACCCTAATCAGATTCAACTTCATCTTTGTCTACAGCATTCAGTGTTTGCATCAAATTCATCTCCAGGTTTGTCCACTATTTGTCTCATGTTCTGTTTTCATTTTCTCTCTATGACTCTGTACTCAAATAGCTTTTAGTCTGAGATCAATATTTGTATCCATGTTTGGGTTTCATTTCATTTGACTTTGTTTTCTTTAATATCTATGAATTTGTTTCTCTATTTTAGCAAAAACTTGGAGAATAAACCTCTTGTATTCAATTCCCTTCCACATCCCAGCATCAAAGACACTTCCATTGTGAGTTCTCACACACCCATCTCTTTCTCTCTCTTATTTTTCTGTCTTTGACAACTGGTTTGGAAATTTGAATATTGAATATCTTTCTCTTGGATCACAAAATAATCACAGGAAAATATTATTTTTGGATCAATGATCTTGTAACTTTTAGGTGAATTTAAGTCACAGACTATGCATGAGGCATCTAAATGAGCATAGATGTGCTGTGGTGTAGAGTGTTAGCTAGGAGTAGTTTCTGAGTATGTTTGATGTTTGAGGCTTTGAGCCCCTTCCCTTTTGGCTTTTCCCCACTGGTTTTGATTTTTTATATTGTAGTTGATTATTAGAACTCTAGGAAGCTGTGGTTGAGAGTTAACGAAGGGTAATTTTAACATGTTTTAATCTTGGAGCGTCCAAACTAATGGATGGTGGTATGCTTTAGTATGCATGCATGATTGGTTAAAAGGATAATCTTTTTCATTGTTTTCTGAAAAAGACTTTGAGAAAGATAACTTAATATTGACATTTTACATATTTTGGTTATGTTTATGTTTGAAAAAATAATGACGGTTTTTTTCCCCTTTTCAACGAAGTTTGTTTCTCAACATCTTTGTTGGCTATTAGTCTTGATTATTAAAGGGATTTAGAATATGATTTTTTTTTTTTTAAATTTACAACTTTGATATTCGTCCATGATTTTAACTTTATTATTCATATGTACCACTCTCTGAACTTGTGTTGGATTGAAAGTATGATTTGGTGTTTGTATTTGGGTCATTAGAAAATTATAACACCCCCCATTATCACTATTTTGTTATAATCGTAAAGCATTGTTTGATGCTTTTGGATTTTTAGAAAATTAAGTAGAAGGATTTTAAGTGTACTTCTTTACCCAACCATGTTTAGGATAATTTTTACAATTTTATGGTCACATTTGTTTGAACAAGTGAAAAGTTTGTTTGAGTTTTGAAAAAACAGTTGTCTGTATCATTTTTGATTACTAAACATCTAATAAAAATTTAGAAAAATGTTTTCAAAAAAAATAATATTAAGATGATAAAAATAAATTTTTTAGAATTTTTCTAATTATTTCATACAATTAGTAACCATAAATCAATAAATTCTGGCTAAACTAATCTAGTTTAGTATTCCTGAACTATTCCTAGATAAACCATTGATTTCATCTTAGTTCATCACTAAGATGAATAAATATAAGTTACCAAAGGAAAGAAAATTTGAAAAAAAAGATGCTAGGTAGCTTTCCTTTTTTATTATTATTATTTCACTTTCTGCTTTATATGATGAATCAAATCCTCATTTTTCTTTCTTATTCACAGCCAGCCGTTACTTTCACCTCATTTGGTGAAGAGGGCAGATCCCTTACTCACTAAGGCACTACATGAATAAAATAAGTAAAGAGGGAGGATATTTACATTTACAATAGGCAAAAAAAAAAGTCTTGAAAGGATTTAGGAAACACTTCCAAGTTTTTTTATTTTTGGGCTGAACAGAGTTGTGTTAATTAACTCTGTTTATGAAATGGTTGAGTGGTCGGCTCACTCAGCAGAATGGAATTTATACACCAGATGATTACAAAGACAAATACATATAGAATGCTATTTTCCAGGAAAATAATTCTAATCATATTTCCTAAGTTACATGCATCTAGGCTACCTGGTAAGTTAAAGAATCATTAAAGAATGCAGTTTCCAAAAAATACTAATGCAGAATAATGTAAGACTACATTACCAGATCAATGTCTCAATACGTAAGCATAAGAAATCCAAATTCCTAATTGAACCAAAAATGAAAACCACTTCACCTATGACAACTTACTAACTAGCTGATGCCTCAAACTCACAGAAGAATTACCCAATAAGAGCGCTTTCAAGAAGAACCAAATACCTTTCAAGCCAACTCAATTTTCACTCACCATCACCTACCTTTTCCTTCCCCACATCTGGGCTTAGACGGTCCACATTAGATCTCCACACAATCTCAATGTTTAAAAATAATCTATTTTGAACTAATATGATGTAAAACGACCCTTATGACCGACTCAGAGGGGCATAAAATTCCACATAAAGCTCAGAAGTTAGTAAACTAGTTCTAAGTCTTGCAACATTTCACATCCTATACATACTAGATCAACACATCAAAACAACCTAGCTCAAAAACTCAAAAAACAGTAAAACACTAAATAAAACAACAACCCACCACCTTTTTCTCTTGGAACATTAAAGACAGTAAAGTTTCAACTAATGATATCATGCAAACCACCCAACACCCCCCCCCCCCAACCCAATCCTAACGGCCTAACCCATCAACTACTGTAAATGAACATAAAAAACACAATTCACATTTTTCATAGAGATTTCACCTCATATGACATATTTCTAACCGCCGGCGCCCATTCCATAGCAATCTTCCTTCTCATTTCCTCAGGATCTGTCGTAGGCGTTAACCTGAGATCAAAACCAGCTTCTGCCTCCGAAGGTTGCACATTCATGAAAAACCCCTGCACAAACACATCACATACAGAATCAACAACAATGCACCCAACTTCAATTAAAACAAAAATAAATACGCATTCTCCAATACTATCTCACATTTTCAGAAGCAACCCCAGCTTTGACATAAACCGGATTCACTGAAACAACCTCGGAATTCAAGGCTTTCCCAGCCTTAACCACATCGAACTGGCTCTCCCTAAACCTACTCACTACCTCCACACTCTTCATCAAATTCTCCATCGCACTGTTATCATACATCCTTGACCCATGCCCGGGTTGCCCCTTCGCCTTGATCTTCAAATGCCACGGAAACCTATCCGCATAGAAAACCCTAAACTCCTCCCCAGGCGAGGCTTGCCCTTCATCCAAAGCAAACCCAACGTTCAACCTCTCGAACTCCTCGGACTCAACGAACTTGGCGGCGCCATCGAAGCCGCCGATTTCCTCGTCGGGGACGAGTGACACGTGGAGGGAGCGGAGGGGGGAGAAGCCACGTGTCTTGAGGTTGCGAATGGCTTCGAGGTATTGCATTGCGATGCACTTGTCATCTTGGGAACCGCGAGCGAAGATTTTGCCTTCGGTGGTTCGGAAGGCAGAGAAAGGGTGGTGGAGCCATTTGGTGGGCTCGGCGGGGACGGAGTCGAGGTGGGAGTTGAAGAGGATCGAAGAGAGGGAAGGGTCTGAGCCGGGCCATGTGAGGAGCAGAAGGGGCTTGCCTGGGGTGAATTCGAGGGTTTTTGTGTGGAGGCCCAGGGAGTGGGCTTGGGCTTTCAGGTACGAGACGGCGGAGGAGTAGTCTGGGCTTGGGTGGGCTGTGTTTATTCGCAGGTAGCGTTGGAAGCGCGTGATGGGCGTGTCTTCTTCTACTTCTTGTTGGGTTGCAGAGATGAGGAGGGTGAGATAGATGAGTGAGAAGGAGAAAGCACGGCTCATACTGGCCATGGAGATTGGTGACTGAGTCAACTCAGGTCTCTGGCTCCCCACACTGAGCTCCAACTCAAGAATCCATGGTTTGCAGATTTTTAAGTGCACGTTAAAAATAATAAATTAAAATAATTATATTTACATCTCTTCAAATTACCACCAATTCCAACTCTACTGTTCTCGAAAATTAAACTTGCACTTCTTGTAAAGTATTGTATAAGATTAGTACAAAAAATTAACCAATTCATGTATAATTGTTGTAAATTATTTAAAAATATTGTTTATTTAAAAAATAATAAATAACAAATTAAAATTAGTATATAAAATTTTTGGTTGAAGAGATCTCGATTCATAATTATAGAGTCACCCTGTAAATTTAGATTCTTTTTCAAAGTTAGATACTTAAATTATATTTTGTGGGACTATTATGGCACTATAACTGTATATCTCTTACATCTCAATCCTATGTTATAAATCAATATAACTGTATATCTATTTGCTATTATTATTTTGTTGATATATTTGCAAATTTAAGAATTAAAGTATTTTTCAAGTAATATTATTCTTTATCTTCACCTTAAAGCTCATTGAGTTGTAGTTATTAAGTTGTGACTCACACTTCACTCTATATAACTTATTTTATAACCTCTTTTTTTAAGTTCTATTTTAGTGAGTTAATTTTGTTCCTAAACCCCATAATATAAAAAAAAATAGATAGGCTAGAATCAGTGTTAGAAGTAAGTTTACTTATCCTTTTTAAGGAGTAATTAAAACTAGTATGCCATTTTTTTTTATAGAAAAGATGCATGTGTTTATTTATAATTTTTATTAAATATTTTCTTTTAAACTAACTAAAAAATATATTTAAATATAAAAATATGTTTTAGAAAAATTAAAAAATTATTTATTAAATTATAATAAAATTTATCATAGCAAATAATATCAATTGTAATTAAAGAAGATTATAAAATATTACATTATGTTATTAATCTAGCTTTTGCGTTTGTTTAACTTTTTTAATTAAATTTCACATGATATATTAATAATTTATGATTTTAATTAAAAATTAATAATAAAAAATTTAACTATACAAAAATTAATTAAAGTAACAATAATTAATTTAAATAAAAATAAAAGAACAAAAAATTAATTTTAATCATTATTTTAGTTAAATACAATCAATGTTAATCATTTTTTAGTTATTATTTTATGAATTTTAATAATTATGAATTCGTTATAATTTGGGTTCATATATGATAAGATCATTTCAATATAAATATAAATATATATAACCTTAAATGATGTATTTTTAGTGAATTATATATATATATAACCAAAAATATAAAAATATAATGATAAATATACATCTAAATATAATAACTACTACATATTTTACATAAATCAACAAATAAAAGTAAATATTTAAAATTTAATTTATCAATTTATATGTAATATAAAAGTTTAATTTTTATTACAGTTATTAATTTTTACATATTTTTTATTTAAAATAATAAATTAAGTATTTTATAATATTTTACTTAATTTATATATATATATATATATAAATCATCACATTGAATTTAAAATTTTATATCAAATTTTTTCATATATTTTATATTAATCAAAAATTAGAAATTCAAATAATTTCACTTTGAAAATAAATTATATTAAATTAAGATAATAAAAATTTAAATTTATAACATTTATTAATTCTTTTTAAGTTCTAAAGTTACATTTTATAAATCTATGAATTTTGTAATTTTAAATATATTATGTTTATGATTTTTATAATAATAATAATAATAATATTATTATTATATATATATACATATATATATATATATATATATATATATATATAACTCATTAACTTTTATCTGAACAACTGATTTTAAATATTTGGATAGTGTATGACCGGATGATTTAAAGAATTTGACCAACATTATTTAACTTTATACATTTCTTTTAACTTTAAAAATATTTATTAAACATATAATGTCTCTATACAAATTAAATATAGTTTTCACAAAGAAGAAAAATAAAATCTTTAATATTTTAAATAATTTTATAAAAATAAACCAAGAAAATAATAATAATATAAAAGTATTATACCATGAAATTTTTTATAGTTAATACTTGAATAATGTTATAAAATAATATGTTAATTTTTTTTATAAAATTATATAAATAAAAATGGCTACTATAATTTAATAATTATTATCAATAATACAAGTAAACATTAAATAAATATATAACTTAATTTGATAATAAATTATAATATTTTATTTAATATTATTTAATAATAATAAGTCATACTAAATATTTATTATAATATAAATTTAATTTTTTATTTATTTTTAAGTAATTTTATTTGTTTATAAATTTATAATAAAAATATATTATATAAAATAAATATTTTTAGTAAATTATCTCATAAGAAAATATAAAATCATCTTATTAACAATATGAGTTAAAATATGTTTTAAAAAAGTAATTGGTTGATTAGACTTAACTCACTTAAATTTATGGAATTTTGGCTCTATATACTTTTTATATAATGAGTTTTTTTTTAAGAATTAAATTAGTTAGATCTAATTTATTTTACAGATATGCTAAGTTAAATTCACATTACTAATTTTTTTTTAACTTTACTATTTTTAAATTTACCAAAATAACATCAAGTGAAATGCTTTTAGATATTAAGAGTAACTTTAAATTATTATTTTTCTACTAATAACTCACTTTGAATATTAGTAACTAAGAAAATGACTTTTTTTGAATCACACTCTATTCAAATAAATTGGATGTTTCTAGAAATGACTAGATTATGACCCTAGTAAATTCTCCAAAGTTTAGCAGTTGTTGGAGAGCAATGTTCCAAAGATTGATAGAAACTAGTTATGAATATTTCAAGATTGTCTCAAGTCAAGCTTCCACAGCTAGCAAGTTCTAGAGATTGAGAAATAACACCATCTGTGTTAAGCTTTAGCTACGTCTAAAGGAGACTGTCATTTCACTTGCCTTTGGACTCTCTAGGTATCATAAACATTTTTCTAAGACATCCTGCAATAGTAGAGAAGGTAATCAACATCATAGAGAATTTTAGTCCACAAAGCTTCATTACTCAGAGAATTATTCTGAAAATAACATTATTTTTATTCTTCCATATATTCCAAGTAACTACACCAATAAAGTGTTCCAAAAGGGATATAAAGTAAAATTCTTCTTAGAAAGATTATAAATTAACCAATTGGATTGACTGAGGCTGAAAAAAGAGGTCTAATTATCAAGGGAGAGAATTTGTTTCAAAATAAATTGAGTCCTTTAGGATGTGGATTACTGATTTCTGGGCTTCCAAATATCTAGAACAAAGAGCCAATCCAATTATATTACAGTTAAATCTCTCCTCATTGGTTAAGAGTCTATCATGGGCAATTCTCATAAAAAGGTAGAAATTCTAGGAGGTCCCTCCCAATCCCACACCAACTTAAAAATATTATTGTAACATCCTAATTCTCAGTACTCGTGATCTACTGAATTTTGACAATTTAAAAAAAATTAAATTATTAGGAATTAGTTAAAGTGACTTTAGAGTTTTATATTCATTAGATAATTTGTGATTTTTTAGAATTTTTAAGAAATACTCATAATTGACCTATTTTGCGAACATCTTAGCAAAAAAAAAAAAAGTACATCTGTGAAAGTGTAATTTTTAAGTTAAAAAATGATAAAGTAATTAAATTTTGACTTTTAAAAGTGATTAAGAGAGAAAAGATGCATGAAAAATAATCTTCTTCTCCAACAAGCTTTCCGTAAGTTCTTTCCTCTATTTTTGCTCTCAAATACTCTCACTTTCAAGCTTGGTTTTGAGGGCTAAACTTTGATTTTCTTGAGAAGTTTCAAGAGGTAAATTTGTTACCCTCATCCTCCTCTACACTTGTATGGTTTTATTTTTCAAAATAGTGCTTATTTAATTTTCTCTTCTTACTTAGATGAACTTGAATAGGAATGAGAAGTGTGTTGTCTTGCTTTTATTGTTGTGGTTTTACACTTAGGATACTAAAATCATGCTTGAAATAGAGGATTAGAAGTGGTTGAGCCAAAAACCTAAGAACCCAAATTCGTAGGTCACTGTTCACTAAATTTTCGGACTTGTATGGACTGAATTAGGAGTTTATGTCTGTATAAAAGTTGTAGCCCTTTTAATACTTGAAATTTAGCCACTGGTTTCACCTCAAACTGATATTTATAACTCAAGTTATGTCCATTTTACTAATAGGTGTTCTAGTTGTCACCTTAAGATATTGCCCTATTTCAACAGCCATGGATTTTGATTTACTGAGACTGATGAGTGTAAAATTAGGACTTGACTCCTTCATAAAAGTTGTAGGAAATTGTATGCCTGAAATTTAGAAATTGGTTTCATGTCAATAGCTTATGTGTAGCATGAGATATGGTCAAATTACTAAGGTATGTTCAGAGTGTTGGTGTAGTTGAGCCCTATCAGAAACAGCCACTGTAAACTGAAAAGTGGCACTATTCTATAGGGTATTTGAACTTAATTTCTTCATAAAAGTTGTATATAAATGATCCTTGAAATTTAGAAACTGGTCTCATGTTAAAATATTAAGTATATCTTGAGTTATGGCAAAAACACTTAACCTTGTGCAATTTGCTCAAAAATTTTCCTGTCATGACTTTGACCAACTTTATTGTACAATCTATCTCGAATTAGACTTTGACCTCTTATCAATATTGTAGATATTTACGTTTTTAAAATTTGAGCTTTGACCTCATGCCAAAACAGTCTATATAACTCTAGAAAATTCCAAAATACTGAACCTTGTTCATGTTTGCCATTGGATTCTTCCTACTCTAAGTATGTACCAAAAATGTGAATGTGAGCTTAACATATTACCAAAAATGGATTAATAAAATAAAATGAGTTTAAATTCTCACGAGATAAAATTAGAGAACTATAAGGTTCTAACTAGTGTTTCATTACGTGTATAGATGTCATCAGAAATTAACTTCAAGCATTGGAGAGAACAAACGTGGACGTAACAGGTAAGGGGTGTGCTATGTACTAAGGATTACATC